ACATCATACATGAAGAAAGCAAGAGGTCATTAAAAAGACAGGAAAGAAAGAAAAGACCAAAATGGATGTCAGAAGAGACTCTGAAACTTGCTCTTGAACCTAAAGTAGCTAAAGAAAAAGGAAGAAATGATGAAATAAAAGAGCTGAACAGAAGATTTCAAAGGATGGATCGACAAGACAAATAAATTATTATAATGAAATGTGCAAAGACCTGAACTTTGAAAACCAAAGGGAAGAACATGCTCAGCATTTCTCAAGCTGAAATAACTGAAGAAAAAAGTCAAGCCTCGAGTTGCAATATTGAAGGATTCTAGGGGCGAAGTATTAAACGATGCAGGGAACATCAAAAGAAGATGGAAGAAATACACAGAGTCACTATACCAAAAAGAATTGGTCAACGTTCAAGCATTTCAGGTAGCATATGATCAACAACCCATGGTACTGAAGAAAGAAGTCAAAGCTGCACTGAAGGCATTGGCAAAAAAAAAAAAAAAAAGGCTCCAGGAATTGATGGAATACCAGCTGAGATGTTTCAATAAACAGATGCAACACTAGAAGCACTTACTTGCCTATGCCAAGAAATCTGGAAGACAGCTACCTGGCCAACCAGCTGAAGAGGTTCATATTTGTGCCCATTCCAAAGAACAGTGAGCCAACAATGCAGAAGTTATTGAACAATATCATTAATATCATACACAAGTAAAATTTTACTGTAGATCATTCAAAAGTGTTTGCAGCAGTGCATCGACAGGGAACTGCCAGACATTCAAGCAAGAGTCAGAATGGGAGGTGGAACGAGGGATATTATTGCTGATATCAGATGGATCCAGGCTGAAAGCAAAGAATGCCAGAAAGATGTTTACCTGTGTTTTATTGACTATGCAAAGGCATTCGACTGTGTGGATCATAACAAATTATGGTAACATTGTGAAAAATGAGAATTCCAGAACACTTAATTGTGCTCAGGTGGAACCTGTACATAGATCAAGAGGCAGTCATTCGAATAGAACAAGGTGATACTATTAAAAAGAAAGTCATTGCTGTTGAGTGACTTGGATTCATAGCAACCCTATAGGACAGAGTAGAACTATCCCATTGGGTTTCCAAGGCTGTAATCTTTACAGAAGCTGACTGCCACGTCTTTCTCTCATGAAGGAGATACTCAGTGATTTAAAATCAAGAAAAGTGTGCATCAGGGTTGTATCCTTTCACAATACTTATTCAATCTGTACACTGAACAAATAATTTGAGAAGCTGGACTATATGAAGAAGAACTCGGTGTCAGGATTGGAGGAAGACTCATTAACGGCCTGCGATATACAGATGACACAACCTTGACTGCTGAAAGCTAGGAGAACTTGAAACAGTTACTGATGAAGATCAAAGACTACAGCCTTCGTATGGATTACACCTCAACATACAGAAAACAAAATTCCTCACAATTTGACCAATAAGCAACATCATGATAAACAGAAAAAATATTGAAGTTTTCAAGGATTTCATTTCACTTCGTTCCACAAGCAACACCCATGGAAGCAGCAGTCAAGAAATCAAATGACACATTGCATTGGGCAAATCTACTATAAAAGACCTCTTTAAAGTGTTGAAAAGCAAAGATGTCACTTTGAGGACTAAGTGCACCTACCCAAGCCATGGTATTTTCAATCTCCTCATATGCATGTGAAAGCTGGACAAAGAATAAGACCGAAAAACTGATGCGTTTGAATTATGGTGTTGGCGAAAAATATTGACTATACCATGGACTGCTAGAAGAACAAAGCTATCTTCGAAGAAGTATAGCCAGAATGCTCCTTGGAAGTGAGGAGGCAAGACTTTGTCTCACGTACTTTGTACATGTTATCAGGAGGGACCAGTCCCTGGAGAAGGACATCATGCTTGGTAAAGTAGAGGGTCAGCAAAAAAGAGGAAGACCCTCAACAAGATGGACTGACATAGTGGCTGCAACGGTGGGCTCAAGCATAACAACGATTATGAGGATGTTGCAGGACTGGACAGTGTTTCCTTCTGTTGTACATAGGGTCGCTATGAATCAGAACTGACTCGATGGCACGTAACAACGTCTATTAAGCTACTGATGAGAATAAGGAGCCCTGGTGGTGTAGTGGTTAAGGGCTCAGCTGCTAACCAAAATGTCACCGCTTCTTGGAAACCCTATGGGACAATCCCACTCTGTCCGATGGGGTCGCTATGAGTTGGAATTGACTCGAAGGCGAGTCAATTCCAACGGATTTGGGTTTTTGGAATGAAACTAAAGCCATACTGATTAAAAACAGAATGATTCATTTTAAACCTTTTGATTTTATGAAATCCCTGGTGGGTTCTAACATTAGCAGATGAATCTTGCACTCCAGTAAGTTGTTTCTTGTGTACCTAGAGGTTTTTTTAAATAATAGATTATTCTAGATCTGTGAAAGTTACAGAATCTCTATGTAATAAAGCTGTTTTTAAATCACAAATGCAATTTATCCTAAGAGCTCTAGGCAGGGTGCATCTTCCCTAGTAATTTTTATAGCATCTAATTAATAAATAAATACACTGCTGGCTAGGCAATACATATTAAGAATAGGTTTTGCTTATCATTACCCTTTATAATTTTTAGAATATTTATGATTGAGGTTTTCTTTTTCTTCCCCGCATCCCTTTCCTATTCGATGACTTTTCATTGCAGCCACTCTTCTTTTCTTTGGAACTGTACCTTGTGCTGTCTCTCTCAATGGCTGTTTTCTAGTTCTGTCCTTCCTGGTTTCATGTGCCGTCTTATCTTTTTATTTGCTGCCCATTTTCAGCTTCAGTGTCTTATTTTTTTTTAATAGGTCAGTGTATTTAAACTTTTTTTTGTCAGTTTTTTCCTGCCTTTTTAATAACTCCCAGTCACACACATTTTGATTGATATCTTAGAAGCAGACCAGTAGTTCCCTTCTTAGAGTACTCTGACCCAGACCCACGGCCGGGTCATCCACTCCTCTGTACCTTGGCCGGTGGGCACCCTCTCCATCTTCATGGTCACTGCCTTGGTTCAGGCCCCTCACTGATCTCCTGAACGATTGTAGTTCTTCCTGCTCGGCCTTCCTGCGTCTCTCTGTCAGTCCCTTCTATTCTTTTCTCATACTGTGGCCGGGCTGCTTTCCTAGGAGGCCAATCTGCACTGTCCCTCCTTGCTTAAAACCTTGTATTATCAATCCCCTGTGTACAGGACACAATCCCAACTCCTTAGCATGGCATGAAAGTCCCTGCATGAGCTCACCAATCCCATCTGCCTAGCCAGCCCCTTTCTCCCCAGCAACCCCTCACATACTTCCTAGACCATCACTCAAGCCACATCAAACTCAATACTCCAGGTACCGGGAACTGGCTGAGCAAAGGCATGGAAATGGGAATTATATGGACGCTTATGTAATGGGGTGATAGGAAGTGGCCCAGTTAGTGCTGAGCACCAGTTTGTGAAGCACAGCCATGGGTCGGTCCCAGTGCCCCGATGCCCAGCTAAGAAATGGTGATGAAGTGGTATCAAGCCATTCTCTCCAAGGGGAGAGAGTAAGCTGGCTTGGAAGGGCTAGCCATTACCCACACCTGTACCCTGATGCCTTCCATTGTTTCCTTCCCCAACCTCAGCCTGCGATGGCGATCACTGGGGGCCCCACTGCAGCAGCCGATGCCAATGCAAAAACGGAGCTCTGTGCAACCCCATCACAGGGGCTTGCCACTGCGCTGCAGGCTTCCGGGGCTGGCGCTGCGAAGACCGCTGTGAGCAGGGCACCTACGGTAACGACTGTCAGCAGAGATGCCAGTGCCAGAATGGAGCCACCTGCGACCATGTCACGGGGGAATGCCGCTGCCCGCCAGGATACACCGGAGCCTTGTGAGTGACATGCTGCCCAGCAGCTGGGCAGAGCCCACCCACTGTCACCATTCATGCTGCCACTGCCAACATCTTTGTGCCTTTGTTTCTATTGCTGCTTGACAGGCCTGGGCTCTAGGCCTGCGTTTGGGCATCAGCAGTGATGGCCACTTAGTGCTCTTGCTGGTTGATCCTTGAACATCAGAGCCCAATCAGGGCCGAAGGGCTGATCTCCCTGCTTTCCTTTTGGCAGGGGAAAGATGGAGAGGGTCAGGATGTTGTGTTGAATGGTGGTATTTGGGGTTTGTTGGGGCAGATCTGGGGTTCTGCTTTGAGTATCCCGCAATTGCATTCATTTTACACTGTTGGCTGTTAAGGGTCCACATTGTTCTGCCCTGTGTGGCAGTTAACTAGCCAGATAAAGCTGGGCAGGCTCAGTGCCTTAGAAAAAAGGAGACAGGGAAGATATTAGAAACAAACAAACAAAAGCAGTTGCTGTTGAGTCAATCTCGACTCATGGTGACTCCATGTGTGTCAGAGTAGAACTACTCCATAGGATTTTCAATGGCTGATTTTTCAGAAGTAGATCGCCAGGCCTTTCTTCTAAGGCACCTCTTAAACAAAACAAAAAACAAACCTGTTGCCATCGAGTCGATGCTAACTCATAGCGACCCTATAGCACAGAGTAGAACTGCCCCATAGAGTTTCCAAGGAGCAGCTGGTGGATTCAAACTGCCGACCTTTTGGTTAGCTGCCAAGTTCTTAACCACTGTGCCACCAGGGCTCCAAGGCACCTCTAGGTGGACTCAGATCTCCAACCTTTGGGTTAGTAACCAAGCGCATTAACTCTTTGCACCACCTAGGGACTCCAGTGTTAGGAATAGCACATAATAAAAGATTAATTGTATTATTTAATGCCCATGGATGCATATATTGCTTTGTGTATGTAAAAGTATATGTAACACATTTGTGCAGGTTATGTGCCCACATAGTTTAATTCTTTCTGCATTGAAACAATTAGGTAACTCCCACTATTTTATGGAATAGGCATTCTTCTGGCTTGCCTGTATTCACAAACAGAATAAAAGGAGGCAGAATTTGCCAAAAAAAGTAAGAGATAGAAAAATATCATTCCGTCACTGAGAAAATTACACTTGTAAATCACAGAACTAAAACTTGAAAAAATGCAGCTGATTAGGTAGATACTTTCTGCTGACAGTGTTAACGTCTATAAAATAGAGCTAAAGAAAAAATTGCATTAGTTTGGAAAGTCCTGATTTTCAGAAGAATGGATGATAGTCTCAAACTGTTTAATTGTTAATATTGCTTTTATGGGTTTTTATCAAGGCTGCAAATGAATAGGGCTGTGGGAAACTTGGAGCAATTTCACAGGAGAGCAAAAAAGACAGTTGAAGGCTTAGAGAAGAAGATTCATACAATATAGGGCAGGTTAAAGGAATGGAGACTCTTCAGCTTCGAGAAGAGAATACTGAAAATTCATTATGGAGAATCTGTGCACAAACAGGGTGATAAGCAAATGTTTTAGTCTTCTTTGAGGATAGACAAACACACAAACATAAGCAGACGTCAGTGTAACACATGGGGTTTATAGGAGTTACAAGGAAAGTTCCTGTCACGAAGGAGTATTTGGCTGTTTTTCTTCCCCGGTGCTCCTACATAGAACAGATTCTCCTCAAACTGAAATGATTTCATTAGAAAATACTCCAAAAGAAAAGGAAGGACAAGACGACCCCTCAAAGACCCTTCCAGACAATATGATGAATGCACTTGATGTTAATTAAATGAACAATTATTGAACAAAGAATGCTTGTCTATTTTGGGGCCCTGGGCACTGTTCATCAACTGTGTATCTATGAAACTGAGGGTCGTCTAGCTGAGTAAATAATGGTGTCCTCTGTTACACATTAATCCCTCAGCTGTGAGGATCTTTGTCCCCCTGGCAAGCATGGTCCACAGTGTGAGCAGAGATGCCCCTGCCAAAATGGAGGAGTGTGTCATCATGTCACCGGGGAATGCTCTTGCCCTTCTGGCTGGATGGTAAGCTTCTCCTCCCTCACAAAGTCACCTGTTCTATGATACTCAAGTGAATAGGCATGTGGAGGGCTTTAGCACAAAAGAAAGCTACTCTGATGGTTAAAGACCCAATAAAATGGAAGAACTTGGCCATCTCAAAGCCAGAATGCCTCAGTCTAGAGGAAGCAGAAGATAATTTGATCCTGGACTTGAAGTGCATTAAGGCACCTCATGGAAAAGATAGTGGTCATCTGTCCTGCATTTCCCCTCAGGTTAACAAAGAGAGAAACATCTAGGCTCACACATGACAGCCAGTACTGGAATTATTTAAATAATCATTTTCACAATTGTGCTCCATGGATTACTACTCTTCCATTTCTCAGCAAAATAAGTGTTAGATGAAAAAAGTTATCTGGCCACATAAATTTGGAGACACAATGAAGTTAAACCAAGTTTATCAAGTATTGCAGAACTTCTCAGAGCCTTTAATGTGATCACCAAGAGGAAGCTTTCATCATACTTCCCAAATTTTGACCATGATACCCTTTCTTCATGTAGCATACCACAGGTCTAGAGTTATGTGAAATGCATGATGTCAGTGCTGCTTTACTAACTAAATGTCTCTGAAATCAGAAAATAGTATCAGTTATCTTTTTCAGTTGATGTCGGTCTATATCTGTGTGAGGGCAGAAAAGTGCATGACCAAGTGTCAGCCCTGTCTCCTTTCCTACACTAACAAACTGCTTAAAAGAGCAATTTATTCATGGTCACCTTCTGTCTCCATTATCTGTGATGAAGCCACTTTTGCAGATGCTTCAAGTGATTTCTTCATTGCCAAATTCAGTGACTACTCTCCTGTTCTCATTCTGCTTCACTCCGCTAAAGCTTTGGATATTATTGCTCATCCACCTCCCTTAATCTCTTTGTTCTCCACTCCTCTAATTACCCTCTCTCCTACCTCTTACTCCTCTTTCTTTATCTTTTCCTGATATCCCTTCTTCTACATACCACTTAATTACCAGTATTTCCTAGGTTTCAGTCTTTGTCCCTCTTCTCTTTTCTTACTGTAAGGTTTCTCTGGGCAATTTCATCCAGACCCATGGCTTTAACAAACATCTGCTGATTTTTCCAACTCTTGACCATACTCACTTGAGCCTAGACGTGTATTTTTCAGTATCCTTTTAGATACCCTAAACTACGAAACCTAGGGACATGGAACCACTGTCTTTCTGGGCTCTGCCCAAACTGTCATCTCAGGAGCTAGACATGGGGGTGGAATTGGTCTGGATGACCCTTTGTTTGGGGCATGGAGCAAAGGAGAACTGGAGCCCACTGCCTGATGGGGGTCATGGGAAGTGTAGGAGAGTTCAAGGCGTGAAGACCACTAGGGCAGGTGGAAAACAACTATCAGACCCAACGTGAAGGTTAGAAATGGTAAGTATTCAAGACAAGGTTCTATTCTAGAGATAGGGCCTGAAGAAATCCCTGGAGAATCAGAAGGTGGGGAGGGACTTTTATTAAGTGCCTGAGAATGAGGCAAACAAGGGAGCTATTGAAGGAATAATGAGTTCCAGTAGGCCTATCAAATTCAGTCTTAATAAAATCAAAGTTGCTATATGCCCAGGCCTTACTCAAGCCTACTCTTCTTCTACGTTTTCTATTTTAGTTAAAACCAGCACTACTCTCTTAGTTGTTCATGGTAGTAGATGTGCTGAATTATCTTTGACTCCTTCTCTTCTTTGAATTTCTATATTCCAGCCGTTGTCAACACTGTTTATTACTTTGTCCTTGTCAACGAAAAGATTCTGCTGGAGTTCTAGATTGTCCCAAGATCTCCATGTTCTTTGGATGAGGAACTGCAGGCATTCTACTCCTAGGACTTTTGTGTAATTATTGTCTGTAGAGCTACCTCATCTTGAGGTTGAAACTTTTCTCAGTTGGGGTGGTCTTGACATGGGATAATGATAACCATAGACTTGGACCATGAACACCAGTAGGTGGACAAATGGACCCCTCCATCTGCCCTGTGGAACTTCCCCTTCTGCACTTTTATCTCTGCTCTTGTCCTACTACCTTGACAGATGTTTCTCACTGAATGCTTCAGGTCATATTTTCTCTGTGTGCTCGATGACCTTTGGACTTATACTTAACTTTTCAACATTTTTATTTGGGCTCTCATCCTAGGTGCTTTTCAAAGACGAATACATATTCCTATAACATATACATATACAAATGTATTTAAACTAATAGAAATAATGTCCTACTTAAAGCTGGTTGCACACATTAATATATAAACAATATTCCTACAGCATCTCAGAAGCTTATATGGGGCCACTACACAATGTGGGTACTTCGAGTGAGGCTCTGAGAGGGTGAGAATTTTCACCAGACACATCCTCATGACAGACTTGCCCTCAGCACATTATCCCTTCAGTTGTGTTTGCACATTTCTAAGAGTATAATATGTTGTGCTAGGATGGAGGGATTACAGCTATTTTTACATCTCTCCCCTCACCACACTGTGAGCTAGATAAGGGTTGTGACCTTATCTTTGATTCTCGGTTCTTAGCACTATGCCTGGCACATAGAAGTTCTCAGTAAGTGTGGATTTGAATCATGTCTCAAAGGTCTTTTCAGCTTCAAGAGTCTGTGGAACAACTTTCCCTGTTTGTAGATAGCTAGAAACCACCAGAGGAGACTTAATTAGTAAACCAACTGCCTTTTGTGGGTAGCCAGAGTTAGGGGAAATGTATTTTTTTATGCTATCCAGAATAAACATTTACAAAACCATCTGGTGTTCACTAGCCTCCAATTTCAGAGTGCCAACAGTCTGCCTTTTTTTAGAGAGAGGGAGGACAAGGCAATAGCTTCCAATGGTTAAAAACATGAGAACGATTTTATGTTATTTGCTCTAACTATAAGCCCAATAAATAGATCCAAAGCTATAGGCTCAAGTTATGTAGCCAAGTGAAGTGGAAAATAGTATTTTATTGAGTTAGTGGTACCGTATCTTATTCTTTTCCACATAAAAGTGGAATAAGTGTCGTGGTAGTACCTGACAAGATGGACAGCCTCTAGGGTAAGGAGACGTGTCCAAATTACTCCCTTGATTTTTCTCCCCAGGAAAGAAGCTTTCCTATTGATCTTGGCTCAGCAATCTTTGTGAATCTGCTGAAAATAGAAGTCTTTTTCTTTTTACATAAAATGTCTAGGTTTATTCCATGAAGTATTTCTTAGGCAATATCATTGTTAATTCAGGCACACAAAATTTCAGTCTTATGTTAAGCTACATTGTAAGAAATAAAGCCAATGATAATGTGTACTTTCTCTGGAACATATGGTAAAGCATTTGGATATTCCCTTTGTGCCAGATGTTGCCATTTATGTAATGGATGCTCAATAAGTATTATTGACTTATTGTGTATGTAAGACACGAGGAAGAACACTTAGAAGGATTTATAAATTCCTTAGGTTACCATAATAATTTGATGTAACTTTATTTTATGCTTCAGTTTTTAATATCGATATTTCTGAAGATTACTATTCTGCCCTCTTTGAATGTATCTTGAGATTTAGGCTTACCAGGTAAAAATTTTAACATTTTTAAGATAAACAGAGTTCATGTGTTTGAAAATCCTCTTAATCTAATTTTCTTATAGCACTGTTCCCATATCCCTCCTTCCCTTTCCTCTCTTTTCTTCCCCCTCCTCTGGCCCTTCCCTGGCTGGCAGCCCATCTAATTTTCCAAGTCTCTTTGAATGCAGGGCACAGTATGTGGTCAGCCTTGCCCTGAGGGTCGCTTTGGAAAGAACTGTTCCCAAGAATGTCAGTGCCATAATGGAGGGACATGTGATGCTGCCACAGGCCAATGTCACTGCAGTCCAGGATACACAGGGGAAAGGTAAGGGAAGCTTTTGTATTTCTCTGACCATTTGTAAGGGCGAAAAAGGAAGCTTGGAGGGTCCAGGGAACACATTTGACATCATGCGTCTGTGACAATTCCGTAATATTACAGAATTATCTTTTATCTATGAAGTATCAGTGTGTTTGACTAATTCTGTTCCAACTCAGTGCACAGAAACTGAATCATAAACAGCAGTGGTGAATGGAAGATATAGAGAAAGCATTACAAAAAATAAAAAGACCCCCAAACATCAACTGTTCAGAAGCTATGGTGAATGAGTCATTCTAAACAGTTGAATGTTTAGGACTGCCACTTCAAATATCAAAACTTTTTACATTTTAAACATTTTGGATAAAATTGTTTTTAAATGGGATGTGTGCTTAGGTACCTTTGAGCTTCTGTTAAGGATGACGAAAACATTTGTAAATGGATATTGGTGATGGTTGCACATCATGATGAATGTGATTCATGTCATGGAATTATACATGGAATACATGCTGAAGTGGCAAATGTTTAGTTGTATATATACTTACCACAATAAAACGTATGTTGGGCATAAGGTTGCCTTTGTAGGATTCAGTATTCTAGTACGAATGTCAGTCCTCATATCATGTAGTAAGTGACATAGTATGATCCGCCTGGGCTTATAGGGCTCTCTGGCCCCACATGAAATAGGAGCAAATGACTATGCTCATGGGGTTCTCACATCCACTGTTTATTCATTTTTCTATATTAGATGATAAACTGTTACCTCAGGAATCTTTGCTTACCCTACTTATTCTAATTTGATGTTTTTAATCTATTATATCCTGGAAGACTAGATAACCAAGCTTATTGGACCTGTGTGTAAAATTAGAGAAAAGAGACTCAAGAGGTAGAAGAATATAATGGTTAAGAGCAAAGATTCTGGAATCAGGCTTCCTGTATTTAGGTGGATATGTCCTTGGAAACATCCTTATCTGTAACATTTAAATAATAATCACACCTTTCTCGAGGATTGTTATAAGGATTAAATTAAATAAGTTAGTTTATTAAAACAATCAGAATACTGCTGGAGCTTATAAATATTAGCTACTATCAGTGTGATAGCTATGAACTATATAAATATTAGATTTTATTATTTTTGAGTGATGTCTGTGAGCTAAGAATTCTTTCAACCTTTTTCCTTCAGGGTTTTTTTCTTTGTTTGTTTCTAAAACTCTGGTCAAATTTTATGACTTTTAATAAGATACTATATTTCTCTTTTTTTCCTGCTTTCCCTGAACTTTCTTGTCAAATTTAATTTGTCATTTTAACAAAACCTTATTTCAGTTTCTAACTGGGTATTGCTGGATAAAGAAAAAATTATCTTGAATTTGTTTTATTTAGTCACCCTACCAAACTTTTAGTTAATTCTAATGTTATTTTTAGAAAAGACTAGAGTTACTTGGGTGTACAATCATATCATCTGCAAATAAAGATCACTTATTTAAGCAGGCTCATACTCATACAGCTAATTTTCAGGTGAATTTTAGAGTTCAGCCAAGGAAGGCAAAGAACCAGAGAAAGAGAAAGGAAGTGAAAAAGGAACTTGCGTCTTGATTTGCTGTTCTTGTAGCTGTTGTTTTTCTGATGAACCAATGGCATGATCACTGTTTTTTAATTGTGTTATCCTCATTTGTGTTCTAGAGTTACACACACACACACACACACACACACACACACAATGCCAATAAGCACACTTGCCACTTTGAAAGGAAAAAAATGAGTTGGCTGTGGGCAGCTTGTGGCAGGAGATGTGGAGAAAGAGGCCTTGAGAGGCTGGGGTCTTAACTTGCCATTTCCTCTGTTTTGAGAAGTCAGCGTAACTTGATCACTGAGGTTAGGCCAGAGGGCTACTGCTCAGAAAAGCAGGTACTACCACAAGCAGCTGCTAGCAAAGCACTGCCAGGATGTGGGGACGGCCCTACCCACCAGAGGGGAAAGAGAAAAACAAAACAGGAACATCGTAGGCAGGCAGAGCAGTGCATAAGATGCCCAGATAAAAGGCCTTGGGGTTTGTGGAAAGGTTGAAAGGACATTGTGGTAAGGAAATTTTATGTGTCTCAGTCAAGTAAGAGTAAAAACAGAGGATGGTTTTCCAGGTCCTTAAAAAATTCTTCTGAATGTCCTACATCCTACTTTGGTGAGTAGCTTCTGGGGTCTTAAAAGATTGCGAGTGGCCATCTAAGATACTCCACTGGTCTCACCCCATCTGGAGCAAGAGAGAATGAAAACCAAAGACACAAGGGAAAGATTAGTCCAAAGGACTAATGGACCACAACTACCACAGCATCCGCCAGACTGAGTCCAGCACAACTAGATGGTGCCCGGCTGCCACCACTGACTGCGCTGACACAGATCACAATAGAGGGTCCCGGGCAGAGCTGGAGAAAAATGTAGAACAAAATTCTAACTCACAAAAAAAAAAAAAGACCAGACTTACTGGTCTGGTCTGACAGAGACTGGAGAAACCCCAAGAGTATGCCCCCCACTGGACACTCTTACAGCTCAGTAATGATATCACTACAGAGGTTCACCCTTCAGCCAAAGATTAGACAGGCCCATAAGACAAACTGAGACTAAATGGGCACGCCAGCCCAGGGGCAAGGACGAGAAGGCAGGAGGGGACAGGAAAGCTGGTAACAGGGAACCCAAGGTCGAGAAGGGAGAGTGTTGACATGTCGTGGAGTTGGCAACCATTGTCACAAAACAGTATGTGTATTAATTGTTTAAAGAGAAACTAATTTGCTCTGTAAACCTTCATCTAAAATACAATTAAAAAAAAACTGGGGAAAAAATATAATTGAAGATGCAATGAGAAGGGGACTTCACCTCTGTGGCATTCTTCTCTAAAACCAATAACCCCAGTCTAACCATAAGATAAACATCAGACAAGCCCAAATTGAGGGCCATTTTACAAAATTCCTGACCACTACTCCACAAAACTGCCAAGGTCATGAAAACCATAAAAAAAGAAAAAAAAATTCTTCTGAAGGAGTTAAAGAAGGGTGTTCCTAATGCCAGTGGTGTTGTCATAGAATCACTCTGGGCCTTTGATGGTGTAACGTCGGTCTGGCACATAATTGGTGCTCAGTAAGTTTTAGCTGCACGAAGGAAGCTGTGGCTCCATAATAGTCCCTCAAGGTGAAGCCCGAGACAGTCCTGGAAATGCTATGTTCTGTATTACCCTGAACGTGAAAATAAATGGGCTGAAAGGAGATAAAGTAAGAAATTATAAGTGGGAATTGAGGGAATGCAACATTGGTTTTCAATGGAAAAACTCTTTCCTGTATCTGTAACTGGAAAAGTTGGCTCTTTCCCAATGTTTTCTATATTTCCCCAAGAGCAGCAGTTCCAGATGTTAGAATGGCAGGCAGCTGATCCATCAATCCCAGGTTTAATGAAGAATGCGATCCTTTCACACTAAATCATGATTTGGTCCAACCATTTGGTCCAGCCTCTAGGGAGGGACATGCTTAACACGTGCAAGGGTGAAAGAGGGAGTTGCGCCCCCCACATACTAGCTCACTTCCTTTTCCTTAAGTGCACGGTGAGATACTAGATAACAATCAGAATGGTTTTAAAACAAGTTGGTGACTCTCATTGGTTTGGGAATTGGAGTCCTGTTTTATTAGTTCAGCTCCACTTTATCCTTATCCATTCTTCCCAACTCTGGGGCTTTACTTGAAATCTAAAAAAAAAAAAAAGGAAACCCCAAATTTCCATATTTCTACTGTGGCCACTATTTATTGCTATATCTTTATGGCTTCTCTGCCATCTCTCCTAAGAAAATGTGTTTCCTCTTTCATGGATTCCTGAGATAGCTTTTCTTGTTTCACGCTGAGCCACAAATGCAACATTAAAGGTGTAAAATTCATTAGGAAATGATGCTTCTTTTAAGATAAAGGGGCTGAAAAGAGACAGAAGTCTGCCTGACAAAGACTTTTAATTCAGCCCACAGAAAGGCATGAGCTACTTCACGATTACGTTCATTTTCAGTATGAAAAATGTCTACTTCTAGAAAGATATCCTACTATTTTGGTTTGGTAGATGGAAATAGACGTAACTATTATAAGCAGGATTCTCTTACAAGTGCAACATTTAAAAAAAAAGCTTACATCACGGCTACGTTAGTCCCTGAAAGTAAAATTCAAATGACTTTTTGCCATTTATAACACACATTAGCAGTATATTTAACTATAGGCTAAAAAGGTAAATATGGGTCAGGACCAGCTATTATGGATTTTCTTTTTCCCAGAGAACAGGAACTCTCTGCCAAGATATGATAACATACACATAATGGTTCCCTGTAATTTGGTGGCAGACACTTTCCCAGGTTTCTGATCTGTACCACATAAAACTACGTGTAGAGCCATGCTTTTTACTAACTTAAAATCATGGAGACAGTGCAGAGCTTAACGTCTGAGTTTGTTTTCAAATCCATGTAGGAGAGAGAAAGCGGTAGTATCTTAGCATTTTCTTTTCTTTTTGATGTTGACTTGCAAGAGGATCTGAACAGATAGGTTGTAAAGTTGTCTTGCCAGCCTCCAGCAGAAGCCATGATGAGGCCAAATTGTTTTACTCCAGCATTCCTCTATTGAAAGTTTACATCTTTAAGGAATAAACTAAGTAACTTGGCTTATTAAAGCTTCTGACAGTTTAAATATAAAGAGTACCTGTTAAAAAGACTGTTCTAAAAATAGGTATATACATGTGTCACTTTAAAGCACATATTTCATTTTATGTTAAAAATTAATTAAATTACTCCAGAACTTTTCTAATGGTTTGTTGAAGAGTTGACATGAAGACTTTGCCTTTTGGAATAAACATACCTTAAGATGTCTAAAATCTGTGAAACCAAACTTACATAAGTCCCTTCTCCTTGTCTCCATCATATTAAATATATGCTGGACTCAGAGTGGAGTCCCTGGGTGGTGCAAATGGTTAATGCACTCTGGCTGCTAACTGAAAGATTGGAGGTTTGAGTCCACCCAGAGGCACCTCAGAAGAAAGGCCTGGCAATCTACTTCCCAAAAATCAGCCATTGAAAACCCTATGGAGCATAGTTCTATCCTGACACACACGGGGTGGCCAGGAGTTAGTATCAACCTGATGGCAACCAGTAACTGGTACAGTCAAAGTTAACCAGAAATTATCAAAGGATTCTGGAGATTCGTCCTCTACACTTAAATAGAATCTCACCCACCCCTGGTATTGTTAGTCATCTCACCCTGTCATTAAAAATATGCATAGCCCTGTGGAAAATGTTTGCTTTTCTGCCCCTTTGTTGTTTCTTTTAACTTTGCTTGAATTCTCTATCATGTATTTACTGCTTGCATTATACAGATCTGAAGAATGCAGTGCTGACCTACATTTTTTACTGTCTGGAGCCACATTGAAAGTGGCTGCTGGGTCTCACAAAGGGTACCCTATTTGTAGTGAGTGCTCAGCTAGACGAGACCCATCACCATCTCCCTTGGCATAAAGCTCTCCTGCTGCTGCAGATAGCCCTGGTCACCTCACCTAGCCGAAAAGAAACCTGTGTGGGCAGGACCTATTCATGTTTTCCATGGAGGGATGATTATCTTCTCTTCACGATTCTCCAGCAACTCAGCAACCCACCTCCTTCGCCATACCCAGCATGCCCTTCCACTGGGACCAGCCTCTACTGTCATTTTTTAAAGATGATAAAGTAATTTTTGGGAGTCTGATGTTTTTCATTGCCATTTGGCTGCCCTTCTCCTCAATAGAGGATAATACCCCACTTGCCAAATTTTTTAGGAAACTTCAAGCCTCCCTACAACCTACTGCCAGAGGCTTCCCAGGTTGGAATCAAGGACATCTGACTTCGGCAGCCTAGAATTCCCCAAATCTAAAGAGGACTTTATTAGTTACATAACTTTCTAAACAAGGAGCAGAGATTACCATTCAGCTTTGAAAGGAGGAGAAACATGACTGAGATTAAAAATGAATGTCAACATGAAAGCCAAGAAAATTAAAATTTAGTTTCACATTTGCGTCAAAGTTTTTGCTTTGGATTGGGGAGAGCATATTTTTCAATTTCCTAATTATGGACTGCTACTAATGTTTGGGCATTTTCTTGTCTCCTTTTCCTGGTATTTATTAAAGTGCTATATATATACCTTTGGCATGCAGTAGGTATAAAAAGATACTTTGTATCACAAGCTTATAATCTTATTTTATTTTGTTTTTATTGTTTTCTTTCAACAGGTCATACCGCTATTACTATTACATAGATGTAGCTGGAATCATTAATCTTTTTTATTTTTTACTCTTTTTTATTGTGGTAAATATATATGTAACAAAACATTTGACATTTCAACAATCTTCACTGTGCAGTTCATCGACATTAATTATGTTCATCATGTTTTTCACCCATCACCTTTACCCATTCCCAAATTATAACATCACCTTTATCAGAAAATGAGTGTCCCCTAAGCATTGTGTCCTCCTTTCCCCATCACTCACAGCCACCCCCAGTAACCAATAATACACTTTGATCTCTGTACACTTGCCTATTCTAGATACTTCACAAAAGTGGGATCATACAATATTTGTCCTTTTGTGACTGACTTATTTCAGTAGGCGTCATGTTTTCAGGGAGTAATTAATCGTAATGCTTTTCATACCTGTAACAGGATGATCACCAAATGATTGTCCAAAAAAGAAGTTTCAATTTATACATGGTAAAGCCATTCTGAATCAACTATTTTCACATGGCACTAACTAACCTATCCTCTGTTCCTGCCTCCTGCTTGATAGGTGCCAGGACGAGTGCCCTGTTGGAACTTACGGGGTTAGCTGCACTGAGACCTGCCGATGTGTCAACGGGGGGAAATGTTACCACGTGAGTGGCGCGTGCCTCTGTGAAGCAGGCTTTTCTGGTGAACATTGCGAGGCACGCCTGTGTGCTGACGGGCTGTACGGCATCAAATGTGACAAACCGTGCCCCTGCCACCCAGACCACACTCATAGGTGAGTGTTGGCCGCTGCTGGAAGGATGTGTCCTGTTAAAGCTTAACCTCAGCGTCCAGTATTTGGAAGGAGAGAGATTCCCCCCCCCAAGGCCCTTCCTGCTTCTGGGTTATCATGGTCAGGAACCACGAAGCACATAGAAGATGTTTTCACTTAGTGGGTGATAGCCCAACTCAGAACATTGTTTGATGGTCCTTTGGTAGATATTAAATTCTATTCCCTATTAATGGCCACTGGTAAAAATTAAATTTGTTGAGGTCAGTAGAACTTCTCCCTAAGAGAAGCCTTCTGTGACATTCCCTTACAAGCAAAGATGCAATGAGAGACAAGGAGTTAAGCCCAGTATGTAAAAATATAAAATTATTCTCACTGCAACATCTTCTATTTGACAGCACATCTGTCGAAGAAAAAAGGGTTATAGAGAGGAAGTATACCAGTGGAAGTTTTGTGCAAGTACTTCACATGTGGCTGTCACATGTGAAATATGTTTTCAGAATTGATTACTCTAACACAGAACTCACAGGGGCCTTGTAGCTCTAAAATCTCTCAAAGAATTTAAGAACAGGAAACCATGATCCCACCCACTCTACTATACCTTGTCTACGCCTGAAAATATCCTCCTTCCCCCTCTTTTCTTCTCCCTCCCGTAAGGACCAGATACATGTAACTTCAAATGCTGGCCCTTGTTTTCAGACTGCTGGGAAAGTTGAGTTTGACAAAAATGGAGTGCATTATCGAGCAGTTCAGATGTTACTAGTATTACTTTTATATGCATTTAGCACAGCTGTTACTTCATTTATACCTCTGAAAGACAGCTTGTGGTCACAGCAAATCCCAAATGCACAAACGTTAAAAGTAAACAGAAACTTGTGGTTGGTCTCTGCTTTAAACCATTGTTGGGAACAAAATAGTGGATTTAGCTCTGTGTGTATGTGTGTGTGTGTGTGTGTGTGTGTGTGTGTGTGTGTGTGTGTTGGAATAGGTGTCAGTGGGAGGTATCAAAGAAATGTACTCATTGGGTCTCAAGTAAGTTTGTAAGTCACTTTAGGCAACTTTTGATTGTCTTCATTGGAAAATATTTGCCACTCTTTAAATAACAAGTTTAGGTAAAACTTTAGGGAGGGAAGATGAATAATCTCCGCAAGACTGCTTTTAAAAAACCAAAAACAAAACTCTCCAATGTTTAAGGAGCTGGCAGGAGTAGGGACAACTCATGAGTTTGGCTGCCTTTCTTGCAGTATGAGGCTTGTTACAGCAAATGGTAGGTCTCATGTAACAAGCTAAGAACTTTTTTATACCAGTGGGTTTTTTTTTTTTTTTTTGCTGTATATAGATACTTTCTGAAAGCAAACAGAGTAATAAATTTGTACAAAGGAAGAGCTCTACTATGAGAAGAATTGTAGAAGCAGAGAAAATGTTGATTTTGTTGGAATTGGGCACCATGTTAATTGCAGGGGCATGTGAAGAGTTATTCGATTGACACTAATACCGTGATAATTTTGACTTAAGTCATATGTACATAAGCATGTATGTTTTAACAAAGAAGTACATGAAATTATTTGATAATCCTGTAGGTCAAAAGAAAAATAAAATATATTTAATAATATCAAATAATCAGAAAATTTAGAAATGATTAGCCTGTTAAGTACTTTCCTAAATAATGACGGCTATTTTTAAAGATTAGCTTTTAAAATGTTCTATTAAAAACAGTTTAATTTTGACCATATGACTCTTTCTTTTTGAATTCTAATTTGGAGTTATCTATTTAATTTTTATATCTTGAACTTTTTTTTGTATTAGTTTTTTTGTATTAGTTGAAAACCTAGCTTCTTCATTTTACTATTTAATCAACTAGGTTGAACTTTGCTATTTCAAAATTCATGATACATATTTATCCTAAAACTTTTCATTATAATTAATGAGATAACTAATTAGTGCAAGGTAAACTACTGGTTTTAGATAAATTTTGAGTTCTATAAATGTACATATTGACATATTTTGCAGCCGTGTATATGGGTAGGGGTTTGGATCAGTTAGCTTTCTCTGTATAAAAAAACACCCCAAACCTAGTGGCTTAAAACAAAAAGTATTTATTAGCTGATGGTTTTTGCTTGTCTATTTGAGCTGCGCTCACCTTGGTGGTTCTTCTGCTGGTCTCCCTGTATTCACCAGGCAGATCAACTAGAGACTGATTAGTCCTGGATATCCTCACTCCATGTCTGGCATTTGGCTGGTGGTAGGGGCTACTAAGCCACATGTCTCCAACATCTAGCAGGCTAGCTTGAGCTTCTTAACATGGTGACCAGCTTCCAAAGGCAGCAAGAGTAAGGGCAAGCCCTAACATGCAAACACTTTCCAAGCTTTTGGTTATGCCATATTTGCTAAAGTCCTGTCATAGATTGAATTATGTCCCCCCAAAATATCTGTCAACTTGGCTAGGTCATGATTCCCAGTATTATATGATTGTCTACCATTTTGTCATCTGATGTGATTTCCCTGTGTGTTATAAATCCTATCACTGTGATGTTATTGAGATGGATTAGTGGCAGTTATATTGATGAGGTCTACAAGATTAGATAATGTCTTAAGCCAATCTCTTTTGAGATATAAAAGAGAGAAGCGAGCAGAGAGACAGGGAGACCTCTGTATCACCAAGAAAGCAGTGCTAGGAGCAGAGCGTGTCCTTTGGACCCAGGGTGCCTTCTCGGAGAAACTTCTCGTCCAGGGGAAGATTGATGACAAAGACCTTCCTCCAGAGCCAACAGAGAAAGCCTTCCCCTGGAACTGACACCCTGAATTTGGACTTCTAGCCTACTAGACTATGAGAGAATAAACTTCTGTTTGTTGAAGCCATCCACTTGTAGTATTTCTTTTATAGCTGCACTAGATAATTCAGACATGTCCCTTTGGCCAATGCAAGCCACACAACAAAGTTCAGATTCAATATACTCCACTTTTGATGGGAGGAGATGCAGAGATTCTGCAATCAACCATAGGGTTGAAATAAATTTAAATATATGTATAAGTAGTAGTAGGTCCCTAGGTGGTACAAATGTTTTGTGCTCAACTGCTAACCTAAAGGTTGGTGGTTCCACCCCACCCAGTGGTTCTGGGTACCGAAGAAGAAAAGCCCTATTGATCTGCCTCCGTTATGATTACAGCCAAGAACACCCTATGGAACAGCTCTACTCTGTAACACATGAGGTCGCCACGAGTCAGAATCAACTCGACGGCAACTAACAACAACACATATAAGTAATATTAAGATTTTAATTTATAGCACTGTTAAGGAACCTATAGACATTTACTGTGACCTGGACTTTTCAACTGAAAACTAACTTTTATGATGGAAATCATTTTGAACAGGAAAATAAAATTTGATGTTTAATAAGAGCCCACATAGTATATGTATATTTGCTGTTTTTAATAAGGACATCTAAATAGCTGTGGGCAATCAGTATGTGCCTATTTGCAAATGCCACCTGTCATTACATTTGAGCATTAGCAACATCAAAAGAAATGAATAAAAAGAAGTTCAATGACTCATTCTGTTTTAGCCAATAGTGTATAGTATAGAACATTTGTCATAATTATAACTATTAAATAAAGAATTTTATTAAGATATTTGTATATAGTTTTCACATATATGTGTGTGTAAAATAATATGTATTCCTATATGTGCATAATCCTATATCCATATACACAAAGCACTCCATTCTTTAGAAAGAAAACAGGTAGTGAGCATATCACCCTTCAACCTCCAATCTTTGGCTCTAACATCGTACGTAAATCTCATTACCAATTAAGCTGCCTGCATGAGAACCCATCAAATGCTTTCAAAGTGCACTGGCTTCCTACATCTAATTACAAATTGCAGAATACTAATTTTGGTGTCAATCAATCTGAGAACCAGTGTGCTGCACTGACACTCTCTGGGAGGCCCTGAATATCAATTTCTCTGTCTGTCTCTCACTTAGGCCAATTCCCTGCCCCAAGACTGCCTGTTTTGTTTAACATTTACATCTATGTCATGAATATTATTTTCTACTGTTTAATGTAAAGAAATATTTTTCTACTAAATTGTCTTTTATTTTATGGTGAGTTAAGATAAAGCATTTTAACTATTCCATCACTTGAAATACTTCTTTTCCTTTTTTGCAAACTTAGGACCTTCAGTAAAGTAAATATAAATTTGTCTCTGATTTTTGCACACTATGGGTTTTCATTGGTCCTGCATTATTGACCCTTTTATCTGTGCTAAATCCCAAATTTTAGCAATCCTTTTTCATATCTAGTCCCCCTGGCAGACTGCTATCAAATTCCTTTTCTTTGCTGTGAAAAAACAAACAAACCTGGGTTCGAGTTTTGATTCTGTCATTACTTGTGTGAGATGTTGAATCAATTATTTACTCTTTCTAGGGCTGTGTTTCCTCTTTAATAAATTGGGGATAGTACCTAACTCTTAAGGATTAAATTCAGTAATGCACATAGAGTGCTTGGCTTGGTGCTGGATCCATTCAGTGCTCAGTAAATGCTAGCAGCTAGTCTGCACATTCACTTATAACATCATCCTGAGCATTTCATAAGTGAGTGTTGCCTGAGAATAATGGCAATTCCCTTTAAGCCAAGATTTTAAGCATTTTAAAGACTAGTTTAATAGGAAATCTTGCCCTCGAATACAGATATGTTGTTGTTAGGTGCCATCAAGTCGGTTGTGACTCATAGCGACCCTATGTACGACAGAATGAAACGCTGCCTGGTCCTGTACCAACTTCGCAATCATTGCTATGTTTGAGCCCCTTGTTGCAGCCACTGTGTCAATCCATCTCATTGAGGGTCTTCGTCTTTGTTGCTAATCCTCTACTGTACCAAGCATGATGTATTTCTCCAGGGACTGGTCTCTCCTGATAACATGTCCAAAGTATATGAGATGAATACAGACATACTGATTATAATTTAATATTGTTGGATGACTCAGAGATATCAAGAAGAACAGATTAGTGTGGGAAAGCAAGATCCTTGAAGTCAGACTTTGCTGCATAAGAACTGACATTTTCACTCATTTGCTCAATAAATATGTACTATGGGCCTACCAGGTGCTCCTTGGAAATTCCAGTGGGGCGGTTCTACTCTGTCCCATAGGGTTGCTATGAGTCAGAATCAGCTCAATGGCAACGGGTTTTGTTTTTTTTTTTAAATGGGTCTACCGTGTGTCAGGGACAGGTAATAAACCAGACCTAATTCTTACCCTCATAGAGCTCACAGTTTAGAGGGGAAGGAAGGCATGGAATGACAGTAAAAATAAATCAGTATAGCATTATAGACTGTGGTAAGTGAGATCAGAAAAAGAACAAGATGCTTTGAAAGAGAATAACAAGAGAGAGCTAATATAAATTTGGGTGGTCAGGGAAGGCCTCCATAAGGAAGAAACATTTAAGCTGAGACTGGAATATAAGAAGGAGAGAGCTAGACAAAGAGTTGGGGAATAGCATTTGAGGCATATGGAGTAGCATATGTGAAGGCCCTTAAGTTGACGGTTTTACAAACTAAAAGAAGTCCAGTGGAGATGAACATAGTAATAAAGAGAGTGGTGATGAGAAAAGAGGTTCAAGAAGTAGCCAGTGGCCAGGTGATGAGGGCCTATGGCTATATTGAAGGTGATCATATACCCCAGTTTTCCTGGAACAGTTTGGTTTCGGCCTGTTGTCATGGTGTAATTACTGGTAGCTCCCCTTTTACTATTAAAGACGTTCTGGTTTAGAAAATAAATTATATAGACCCTCTAGCTATATTAAACAATGTGTATTTTTTTCTAAGCATAGTGGAGAGTCTTTGATGAGTTTTGTTTTCAATAATATTTTATTGTGTTTTTTGTGAAATTTGATGAGTTTTAAGACAAAGACTGATATGATACAATCTAATTTTCAGGCGGTGTGGTATGAATGGAGGCAGGGAGAAAAATTAGGAGACTCTTAGAAGATCAGAAAATAGATGGAATCAGCTTAGACTAGGATGGTGACAGTGAAGATGAAGAGATGTGAATGGATTTAAGATATGGAATGGATAGGTCTTAGTGATGATGAATTAGATATGGGAGAAAAGGGAGGAGCTACCAAGAATAACTCCTAGGTTTCTGGCAAGTGAAACCTACAACTGAGTGACTGCTGGTGCCATTTACAGAAATGGGATCGATTGAAACAGAAACGCTGAGTGAGGAGGGAAGAAAGGGGAAAACAAGGGTTTAGTTTTGGACATGCTAAGTTGGAGATACCAAGGAAGTGACAGGTGTTTGTCCAAGGATAAGTGATTTTCCCAAGGTTATGTAGCAGATAAGTGGAAGATCTGAGACTCAGACCCTTGTCTTCCGAATTCCAGATATTCTATACCCAAGAAGCCATCTCAAATGCACAGTTTTACTTTGCTTTTTCTTCATGCCAGGTTTTTTGAGTATGCTTGTGATGGATGTTGCGGTATCTGCTTGTGGGCAGTTAGTTGCAGCAGGGGCCTAAACATATATTTAAATACATTTCTAAAAATGAGGAACAAGCCATCCATCCCATAGGCTTTTTCTTTAAAAAAAAAAAAAGGAAATGAAGAGTACTGAGTGTGGCTGAGCTCCTTACTTGACAGACAAGGGCATCAGGCTCAGGGAGATTTATGGTCACAATGAGGTCACCCAGGTAGTAGGAGACTGGAGTGACATCCTCAGTCTTCAACCCTCCCAGGTCCTCATTTTTCTCGAAAGTGAAAAATCTATCAACAGCCTTGTCATGTCTAGATGCTGACAGTGGATTTTGTTGTGGGCCTAGTTAAGGGGAGGGTTTTGTCTCCATCAGGGGAGGAAGACCATCTTTAAACAGCCTTCCAATTGTCAGCAGAGCTAGTTTAATTGTTAAGATTTTCCTTTGGCGAGAAGCACATGTGTTTTGAGACAGAGTGCCACAGAGGGCCCTATTGTGTTAACTTCACTAATGTGTGCATCTTAGTGCAGCTGATATGTCCATTTGCTATGGAGCAACAGCTGGCTGCCTGGCTGTCAATGCAACTGCTGTTTCAGGTAGAAACAGCTGCTCCACCACCAAGTACGGGAGCCTAGGCCTGCTTTTGTAGTTCCTTGGACATCACCCTGATTAACTGATTTGGTATTGTTCATTGGGTGCAGTTCTTTAGATCTTCTCATAGAGTTGATGCCTTATTAAATGAATGCTTTCAATTTAAGACAATTAAAATGGATTTCAGACAGAAGGATGTGTTTGGAATAGTCATCCTGTTAGAGCATGATGCTGATTTCATGCAATGTTTCAGCAGTATCCATCAGGTTGCGGTTAATTAATGAAATCACTCCAAGCCTGGGAATGAAGTTTAAATTACTGTTCATGGACTTACCCACACATTTAGTGATCATGGCTAAAGCAGCATTTGAACGGGACTTGGGTGTCATGTTTACCCCAGAGTGACTTGTTCCTTTCATCCGTGTCTCTCAGCTGTCACCCCATGTCTGGAGAGTGCGCCTGTAAGCCAGGCTGGTCTGGGCTCTACTGTAATGAGACATGCTCTCCTGGATTCTACGGGGAATCTTGCCAACAGATCTGCAGCTGCCAAAATGGGGCTGACTGTGACAGTGTGACTGGAAAGTGCACCTGTGCCCCTGGATTCAAAGTGAGTGACTTGAGCTTTAGAGGAAGGAGAAAAGGGGTACAATGTGGAAAATATCAATACTGCAAGTTGCATGACCTTTTTTTTGGGGGGGGGGAGCTATTTTTTAATTGTGGTGAAAATATACACTACAAAACATTCGCCAGTTCAACAGTTTCTGCATGTACATTTCAATGACACTGATTACACTCTTCATGTTGCACAACCCCTATTCCCATCTTTTCCCTAATTATTCCATCACCATTAACTTACACTCAGTGCCCCCCAAGCAAAAACTCTCCCCTCCGGTTCTCTCACCCTTGGTAACCACTAATAAGCTTTGCTTTCTATATAGCTGCTTGTTTCATATACGTGAGATCATACAGTATTTGTCCTTTTGTGAGGGACTTATTTGGCCCAGCATCCTGTTTTGAAGGTTCATCCATGCTTCATCAGGACTTCATTTCTTTTTATGGCTGAATAATATTACATTGTATGTATATACCACCTTTGGTTTATCCATTTGTCTGTTGATGAACATTTAGGTTGTTTCCACCTTTTGGCTATTGTGAAAAGTGCTGTAGTGAACATTGGTGTACAGGTTTCTGTTTGCATTCCTGCTTTCACTTCTTTGGGTTATATACCTAGGATTGGGATTGCATGGCTTTTTCTGAGGTAAATGGATATGATAAAATCATTGAAAGAGAATAAAGAGAAAATTACTAATAAAGATACAAGTAATTACCTTAGAATGATGACTGGGAAAGCCGATAAAAACAAGTATATGGCATTAAAAATTAATATAAATATATGTGAAGTATGATGTATCAATTTTTCTGTAAATAATGGTTTTACTGTGTTTTATAAACAACAAGAAAATTACTTTTCCAGGTATGATACATATTATTGTTGACATTTTTTGTTTTAATTCTGTGTAATTTGAAGACCTGGTGACACAGTGGTTAAGAGCTACAGCTGCTAACCAAAAGGTCGGCAGTTCCAATCCACCAGCCACTCCTTGGAAACCCTATGGGGTAGTTTTACTCTGTCCTATAAGGTCGCTATGAGTCGGAATTGACTCAAAGGCAATGGGTTTGTTTGTTTTTTTTAATCCAAGTTAGTATTTATTATATATTTACATTTTATGGTTAGTTGTATGTAAGTTTTTAGATCTCTTTGAAAATCTGAACTCTACAAAAATGCATATATGCTAAAAGGTAGAATTTTGCTTACAGCCTTAGCCTACAGTTACTAGGATTTCTCTTTTAACATATATATTTTATTGTGCTTTAGGTGAAAGTTTACAGAGTAAATTAGTTTCCCATTCAATAATTTATACACAAATTGTTTCATGACATTGGTTGCCATCCCCACAATGTGTCAGCACTCTCCCCTTTCCACCCCAGGTTCCCTGTTTCCATTTGTCTGGTTTTCCTGCCCCTTCCTGCAGCCTCATCTTTGCTTTTGGGCAGGTGTTGCCCATTTGGTCTCTTATACTTGATTGTTCTAAGGAGAATGTTCCTCACAGGGTGTATTGTTTGTTTTATCTTGTTGTTGTGAGTCAGTTCCAACTCAGTGACACTATGTACAACAGAATGAAACACTGCCTGGTCCCGCGCCATCCTCACAATCGTTGCTATGTTTGAGGCTATCGTTGCAGCCACTGTGTTAATCCATCTCGTTTAGGGTCTTCCTCTTTTTCGCTGACCCTCTACTTTACCAGGCATGATGTCTTTCTCCAGGGACTAGTCCCTCCTAATAACATGTCCAAAGTACATGAGGCAAAGTCTCATCATCCTCACTTCTAAGAAGCATTCTTGCTGTACTTCTTCCAAGACAGATGTGTTTGTTTTTCTGGCAGTCCATGGTATATTCAGTATTCTTCACCAACACCGTAATTCAAAGGCATCAATTCTTCTTCGGTCTTCCTTATTCATTCTCCAGATTTTGCAAAGACCAGTCTAATATTTGGCTAAACAGTTAACTTCAGAAGTGGCTTCAGTTCTGGGTTAGAAGGGTGTCTAGGGGCCATAGTCTTGAGGGTTCATCCAATCTCTGTCAGGCCAGCAAGTCTGGTCTTTTTTGTGAATTTGAATTTTATTCTATGTTTTTTTCCTGCTCTGTCTGGAACCCTCTATTATAATACCAGTCAGAATGGTCAGTGGTGGTAGCCAGGCACAATCTAGTTCTTCCAGTCTCAGGCTAGTGGAGGCTGTTGTTCATGTGGTCCATTAGTCCTTTGGATTAACTTCTTCCTTGGGTTTTTGGTTTTCTTCTTTCTCCAAGCTCCAGATGGGATGAGACCAATAGTTGCATATTAGATGGCCGCTCCCAAGCTTTTAAGACCCCAGACACTACTCACCAAAGTAGAATGTAGAACATTTTCTTTATGAACTATATCATGCCAGTTAATCTAGATGTTCTCTGAGACCATGGTCCCTACCCTCCACCCCAGCAACCTGGTCCCTCGAGGTGTTTGGTAGTGTCTAGGAAGCTTCTATGACTGTGCCCTCTGTGTGCTCTATTATATATATGAATATACATGCTGCACATACAAGTATGTATGTAATAATATCCACATCCCAATCTGTATATGTACTCCTATACTCCTTCCTGTCTCTATTCAGCAAACATACCTACCTATATATTTGCTTCTAAATTATTGTTTGTTTTTACTGTTGTTGTAGGGTTATATATGTTATAGTATTTATTGTGATTGCCTTATTTTTTTTTGCGTTCCTCTCAGTGGCTTTCTTTGCCTTTGTCAAGTTGTGCTGACTTCCCCTATATTGTTTATTGCCTTTCCCTTCACCAAAGTTAACACATCTACTATCTAGTTAGTGATTTTCCCTGGTAACCATCAAAGATAGTTTCTTTCTGTGTAAATGTTTTCATGAGTTTTTGTAATAGTGATCTCATACAATATTTGTCCTTTTGTGATTGACTTATTTCACTCAGTGTACTGTCCTCCAGATTCATCCATGTTGTAAGATGTTGCATGGATTCATCACTGTTCATCATTGCATAGCATTCCATTGTGTGAATGTACCATAGTTTGTTTGTCTATTCATCTGCTGATGGGCACTTAGGTTGTTCCATCTTTTTGCTACTGTGAATAATTCTGTAATGAACATGGGTGTGAATATGTCTATTGTTGTGACGGCTCTTATTTCTGTAGGATATATACCTATGAGTGGGATTACTGAATCATATGGTATTTGTATTTCTAGCTTTTTAAGGAAGTGCCATATCATCTTCCATAGTGGTTATACCATATTACATGCCCACCAGCAGTGTATGAGAGTTCCAGTCTCCCCACAGCCTCGCCAGCATTTATTGTTTTTTTGATCAGTGCCATTCTTGCAGGGGTGAAATGGTATCTCACCAGAGTTTTGATTCGGATCTCTCAAATGGCTAATGATCATGAGCATCTTTTCATGTATTTGTTGGCCGCCTGAATGTCCTCTTTGGTGAAGTATCTATTCATGTCCTTTGCCCATCTTATGATTGAGTTGTTTGTCTTTTTGTTGTTGAGTTGTTGAAGTTTTCTATATATTTTAGAGATTAAACCTTTATCAAATATGTCATTGCCAAAGTTTTTTCCCATTCTGTAGATTCTCTTTTTATTCTCTTGGTAAAGTCTTTTATGAGCATAAGTGTTTAATTTTTAGGAGATCTCAGTTATCTAGTTTATCTTCTGGAATTTGTGCACTTTTAGTTACACTTGATATTCTACTTATGTCATAGATTAGGGCCCCTACCTCTGTCCCTATGTTTTCTTTCATGATCTTTATAGTTTTAGGTTTTGTATTTGGGTGTTTGATTCATTTTGCATTTGTTATTTGTGTATGGTGTGAGGTATGGATCCTGTTTCATTTTTCTGCAAATGGATATCCAGTTTTGCCAGCACCATTTGTTGAGGAGACTCTCTCTTCCCCATTTAATGGACTTCAACCCTTTGTCAAAGATCAGGTGTCCATAGATGGGTGGATTTACTTCTGTGTTCTCAACTCTGTTCCATTGGTCTCAATTTTGTGTCTATTGTTGCACCAGTATGGGGCTGTTTTGACTACCACGGCTACATAGCAGGTTCTGAAGTCAGGAAGTGTGAGGCCTCCTACTTTGTTCTTCTTTTTCAATAATGCTTTACTTATCTGGTTTTTTTCCTTTCCATATACAGTTGGTGATTTGTTTTTTCATCTCATTAAATAATATTGTTGGAATTTGGATCAGGATTGCATTGTATCTGTAGATCACTTTGGGTAGTACTGACATTTTCGCAATGTGGAGTCTTCCTAGCCATGAGCATGGTATGTTTTTCCATTTATGAAGGCATCTTTTAGTTTCTTGCAGTAGTGTATTGTAGTTTTCTTTGTATAAGTCTTTTACATCCCTAGTTAGATTTATCCCTAAGTATGTCTTTTTGTGGGTGCTATTGTAAATGGTATTGTTTTCCTGATTTCCTTTTTGGAGTTCTCTTTGTTAGTGTAGAGGAATCCAACTGATTTTTGTACTTTGATCTTGTACCCTGCCACTTTGCTGAATCCTTCTATTAGTTCCAGTAGCTTTCTTGTGGAATCTCTAGGAATCTCTACGTATAGGATCATATTGCCTATGAATAGGGATAGTTTTACTTCTTCCTTACCGATTTGGATGCCCTTTATTTCTCTTTCTTGTCTTACTGCTCCAGCTAGGACTTCCAGTACAATATTGAATAAGAATGGTGATAAATGGCATCCTTGTCTGGTTCCCATCCTCAAGGGGAATGCTTTCAGTCTCGCTCCACTGAGAAAAATGTTGGCTGTGAGTTTTGTATATATGCCCTTAATTATGTTGCGCCTAGGATTTCTTAACCTCAGAATAGGAATCCTTGTTTTAAAGGAAAATGGGTTATTCTTGAATCATTTCCTCCCATTTTAAAAATGAGAACATTAAACTATGAAGAATGCTGATGATTATTTCAGAGCACATGATGTAACTGGTGGATCATAATGCTGCAGAGCTGAGAGGATCTTTATGGGGTTTTCTAACCTCTGTCACTACCCTTTGGTTAAGCCCCACTTGAATTAGCCTTGACTTAAGGAAGTTGCTTCTATTTTCACAGATGACTCCAGTCACCTTTTGGCACCCACATCTATGTTTAACAGTCACTGTCAGATAAAAATTGAATCACGGTGCTGGTGGAGCATGGGTTCTGTTGTTTTGCTTTACCCACTAACAATATTACATATTATACAAGGAAGCCTAGGAAGCATAGTGATTTAATGCATAGTTTATGTTTATTTATTAACAGTTATTTTATAGCTACAATTTATTGTTATATATCTACTTGTTTGAGCAAGAACAAGGGGTTTTTATTTGCTACCAAGGCAGAACTAATAAAAGCAGCAGGTTTTGGGGAGGGGTCCAGTTTAACACCATATCCTAAACAAGGCCAGGAGGCATTGGTGATTCAGTGGAAGAATTCTTGCCTTCCATGCAGGAGACCCAGGTTAGATTCCCGACCGATGCGCCTCATGCATTGCCACCATCCATTTGTCAGTGGAGGCTTGTGTGTTGCTATGATGCTGAACAGGTTTCAGTAGAGCTTACAGACTAAGACGGACTAGGGAAAAAGGCCTGGTGATCTACTTATGAAAATCAGCCAATGAAAACCCTATGGATCACAGCAGTCTGATCCCCAAATGATCATGGGGTGGTGTAGGACCAGGCATCATTTTGTTCCATTGTGCATAAGATCACCAGGAGTCGGGGGTCAACTTGATGGCAACTAACAACAACAAAACATAGTCCAGCTATCATTGCACTTGAATGTCTAAGATTTGTAGAGTGGTGACGTTATAGAACTCTTTTGAGTATGATATGTTAAAATTAAGAGGAAGTCTAATTAGCATCTCCAAGATATATTTTTGTGTATTTGTGTGATCTTACTTCAGTCAGTAAGTTGCATGCATTTTTCTGTTTGCACCATTTAGGGAACTGACTGCTCTACTCCATGCCCTCTGGGAACCTATGGGATAAATTGCTCCTCCCGCTGTGGCTGTAAAAATGATGCTGTCTGTTCCCCTGTGGATGGTTCTTGCACTTGCAAGGCAGGTAAGGGTAGGTGAATGAGTCTTGTATTTGATCCTGGTCCTGTTATCTCCTAAAGTCACAGGAAAGAAACCTTCACTAGGGGTCTACTCCAGCTGTATTTGGTGCATGACCTCAGCAAGCCCCTCAACCAGTGTCAGCTCTATTCTTGGGCCAAGGGAAGAGGCTTGGATTAGATGGTCCCTGAAATTGCTGCTAGCACCAAAATTCTGTGAGTCTCTGAGCTTTTGGGAAGAGTTAGGAAGCAGACATGTGTCCATGCCCCTAAATGTGCTGGTCTGGAGTCATCAGAAGGAACATAGCCACACACTGATTTTACGTGAGGGCCAAAACGTGTTTATCTGTAGTTGCTGTGGCAGCCAGGATCATAGATACCCATTGTGCATGGTTAACGGGGTCCTGCTTTAAAGATGGGGATGTTCCTTCAAACAAAACCTTCCTTCTCCTTGCCATATAAATATTTTACTTTCCCAGTATGAACAAAACTCAGCATTCCACAGTGCACATCACTGCACATTAACAGTACCTCCAACTTCATATCTCTTCCTCAGTAGCTTGTTGGTGTTGGCATCCTTGGCAGATTACACAGCACACACAGTTGTTCAGGTGCTCAGGGGTGACTTTTGTTCATTTCTGGTGGGAGCCTTAAATGACAGAGCCAATGCTCACTGCTGCTGAGTTGGGGGGCATGTTGTGCATCCCCAAGAAGTTTCTGCAGGGAAATATAGCTTGGACAGGCTCTGTAAAACCCCCTGCTGCCTTTGTTTCCTCACATGCTCTGGCATCTTGTCGTGACAGGCTGGCACGGGGTGGACTGCTCCATCCGCTGTCCCAGTGGCACATGGGGCTTTGGCTGTAACTTAACATGCCAGTGCCTCAACAGGGGAGCCTGCAACACTCTGGATGGGACCTGCACGTGTGCACCTGGATGGCGTGGGGAGAAATGTGAACTTCTCTGCCAGGTATGCCCAAACCAATGCACCAACGAGGAATGCCTGCGGGGAGCTGATGTCAGAGGGTTGCCTGAATTTTACAGTTTTCCTAATTTAGAGTGGATAAGTGTGAGCCAAACCTCAGTAACTATTAGATGAACTGAGGTGTTTGGCCTCAAATTGGATATAGAATTGGAAAAGGCATAGACATGGAAACTGGATAGGGAAGCTTTATGGGAAATGCTTTCTTCTTTTCCTTCAACTATGCCCTCTTCCCACACCCCCCTTTATTTTCTCTGCCCTTAGCACACCCGTCTCGTGGTGGCAGCCAGTCAAGAGCATTTGTCAAGCACCCAGTGTATGTCTGTCAACTCTCCAAATATTTTGTTTCTATTATAATGGAAATCACCCACCCTTTGGGGTGGAAAGTGGCAGGGAATTGAAAGGGAGTTGGTGACTTGTGTCACAGAAATGCTTGGTGACATGGTGAAAGGAGGTTTGGAAACAGTTGTATTCTAATGTAAGTATCTCTAGAGTCACAAGAATCTCCAAAGATTTGGCTCCTTCAACTCTGACTCGATCTCATTGGCCTATTTTGGGTGTATATGTCATTAGAAAATCCACATTGCATCTACCACAGGCTGACAGAGGATACAAATGGGAAGTACATTCTATAGCAATGAGTTGGTTTCTGTTTCTTCCCATAACACTTGACCTGTTTCTTTCCCTCTTTCCCATTATTCTTTCTCCCTATCACAGTTCTTTTCTCCTGAGCCATTAAGGATCTGTCAGTAGTGTGTGTTCTTTGCCTCCAGGAGAGCACTCTGATGTGGAGATAACAATATGACCCCAGTGATCTGGGCCCCAGGCCAGGGGCCTTCCATGGAGACTCTTTTCTCCCTGAGCTTCCTCTTCATTAAGTACAACTCACTTAAGGAGATGTAGGGGGTGGGGGTGGTGAATCCCTGGGCTATTCCATGCCCTCCCAATCCCTAGAAAGGAGTGAAGTTAGCTTTGCTGTCTCTCACCTCTGACCAGTGAACAAATGATCAGTTCTTTGAGATGAACTCGAAGATCACTTTTCACTCCCAATCCGAATGTAGACAAAGCAAAGCCACTGGCATAATCTTGTCCTTTCTTGCATATTAAATGTGTTAGTAAACCAGCAAAGGCTCACATTGTTCCACTCCAAAAGTGTGAAATCAGTATGGCAGAGCTAAATCCTATCAAATATCATTGGAGTCCAAAAATGGTTTAATTTTTTAAAAAAATTTAATAATATCTAACAAATGAGTGTGCCTTTTAGCACCCTGTTTTATGCTGGTTCTCCTATTCCTCCCTCTTGGTAGGTGTACAGACACACAATGTCTCTGCTAGTCCTTGGGCAGACTGGGAAGTATGTAGTGCCCTCCCTCAATTCCTCAGGATTTGGCTTGAAAGAGTGGGAGTTATAAATTCAGAGCTTTCCATTCTTCTCCTACAAATTAAATTATCATGTCCATGAAGAGTCTGGTCTTCACTGGACCCCCCAAGCTGATGTGCATGTGACAACAGAAGGACCTGGAAGGAGAAGAGTGAGGAGAGCGTGCCAAAACATACCCATTCCCTCTGAGAAGTCAGAATAGCTTACGTTTTTTATACTTTTCCATGGAAAAGAGGATATTAAATAGGAAAAAATTAGTGAAATATTTTATTTCTTTGTAGTTCCATGTTTCCCATAGGCAACTTACAGAAATCAACTTAATTAGAGCTGTATATACATATATATTTTTTAGTTTTAGAGATTTCTTATCAGGGTCATGGCCCTCCCTTTCCGCTAGAGTATAAGTTTAGGGAACTTATAGTTTAGGAAAGCCTGAACTGTTTTGGAAAATCTTTAGGAGCAAAAGAAAAACATATATATCAGTTTGGGCTTACAATAAAATGAAATGTTCTTTTAATTAACTGGCATACGAAGATGCAAGAAAAAGCAATTTGTTTCACCATTCATAGCACTATGTTAGGCATAAGCCAAGGTATGAGTGATTTTAGAACACTGACCTCCTGGAGCCTACAGTTTGGGGAGCAAGAAGACATGCGAAGAGGTGATTGATTCTAACTCGTGTTCCTAGGAGGTGCTTTGGAAGCACAGGGAACTGTGTCTGAAATGGCTCTGATTGTGGCCCCTTTTGTCTCCCATCATGGGGTTTCCTGTGCCCTCATTCCTGTCTTCAATGCTGTCTTCGATATAGGATGGCACATACGGGCTAAACTGTGCTGAGCGCTGTGACTGCAGCCACGCCGATGGCTGCCACCCCACCACGGGCCATTGTCGTTGCCTCCCTGGATGGTCAGGTGAGATCCAAGGACACTACTGGAAATGTAGTGGAAATGAGCCAACTTAACGCCTAAGCTGTTCCTTACTACTCCAGAGAAACACACACAGGTCAACTTCTTAGAAAAAATGAAAATATAGTAATGTCTCCAGTAATCTTATGACATATTTTTATCCAAGAAATATTATTTCTAAGTATAGTTAATCTGCAAGCCAGGTATGGCTTTTTGTGGATTTGCACAGGGACAGTTCTCCTGAGGGCACATGTAAGTTCCCACTGTCAGTTTTCAACCAGGAAGGTCAGAAAAACGTAATGCTGTGAAAATCTCAGCAAGACCTCTGTGGTATTTTTTGAGCATTGAGGAAAAATGACTGAGAAAAAAGTATAGGAATATGACTAGGTTTACCTAGTGAGGCATAAAATAGTCATATGATTAACATAGATATTAAAATATTTTTGCTAGAAAGAAAAGCTTTTAAACTTTGTTTTTTTGCAGTAATGTTTTTAAGTCATGACATATTCACAAAATTGTTAGTACCAATTTTCTAACCACAGAGTGGAAGTTTCCTTTTATTCATATAAAGGTTTCAGCCAGGAAGTTCATCAAACTAACAGTGATCCTGGAAGAACTATAGTTTTTGCTCATTGTATATATACTTGGAAGATGGCATTAAATGTCCAAGTAAAATGGGATCTTGCTCTTCTTTTTTGTATATCAAGTCAAGCTTATCCTAAAAAGACAAAAATAAATAAATAAAAACTAATAGAATTTTGAACACTTATTAAGAAAAAATATCAAAGGGAATGCATTAGGAAAATTATTGAACATTGGGATGAATGAACTGAATACAGTCATGAATATTCATTTCTACCAAGAGTAAAATATTGATTGCTACAGTGAAACTCTATAAACTAAGGACTGGATTGGTACAGTGATTAAGAGCTTGACTGCTAACCAAAAGGTCAATAGTTCAAATCCACCAGCTGCTCCTTGGAAAGCCTATGGGGCAGCTCTACTCTGTCCTATAGGGTCCCTATGAGTCGGAATCGACTTGATGGCAATAGGTTTGGTTCTTTGGATTTAAATAAAATAAAACTTAAAAAAAAACCCAAAAACTTTCCATTTGAAGTCATTTTTAAACATATATGTGTGTGTATGTCTGTACGTATATAAATATATGTACATCTATATAGAAGAGAGGGAGATATGTAAGAGATCTGTGTCCATATCGACAGTGCTTTGGTATCTTACAAAACAGTTTTCAACTTGCGCTCTTAAATAGAAATTGGTAGTAATAAGCCAGGTATCCTCTTTAGTGATGGTTCATATTTTTAGAAGATGGATCTTTCAGAAGAGAATCATATGACTCCATACCAGAGAGGTCACATTTAGGAAATCATAGAGTGAGGATGATCTTACCTTATAGAAAAAATACATACAAAGAAGACTCTAGAGAAATAATCGTAAGTAATGGTTATTGAGTGCTTATTATAGCCTCACAACAACTCTGTGAGATAGGAGATATTATTTTCACAAATGAGGAAGTTGAGACCAAGAGAAGTTAAGTGGCTTGGCTGAGGTCTCAGAGTTCATAAATGGCAGAGACAGATTTGCACCCATGCTCTCCCACTGTAGAGCCAGCTTTCATAACCCCTACACCCTGCTGCCATACACAGAGTTATTCTAGGAAGTGCTGGGGGTTATGCTGAAATTCTACTTTCAGCATGGACCAAGACCTCTCGGAATTATATGAGAAGACCATGGTGATCAGTGCTGGTAACTAGAAACCTCTTTTTTTAATAATACTATAATTGATATAATTGCATACCATACAATTTACCTATTTATAGTATACAAATCAGTGATTTTTAGTATAGTCACAGAATTGTGCAGCCATTACAACAATCAATTTTAGAACATTTTCATTACCCCAAAAAGAAATCTTGTACCCATTAGCAATCACTCCTCATTGATCCCCAAGTCACCTTCCCCCCACTCTAGGCAACAACTAATCTACTTTCTATCCCTGCAGATTTGCCTGTTCTGGACATTGTATGGATTCATACAATATGTGGTCTTTCGTGACTAGCTTCCTTCACTTAACATAGTGTTTTCAAGGTTTATCCATATTGTAGCATGTATAAGTACTTCATTCCTTTTGATTGTCAGATAATATTCCATTGTATAGCTATACCACATCTTATTTATTCATTCATCAGTTGATGGACGTTTGGATTGTTTCCACTCTTTGATCATTATGAGTACTGTTACTATGAACATTTGTGTACAAGTTTTTATTTGGATGCATAAATGCTGAGTATATACTTAGGAGTGGAATTGCTGGATCATGTACTAACTCTATGTTTAAACTTTTAAAGAGCTGCTAAATTCTTTTTCAAAGCAGCTGCACAATTTTACATTCCCACCAGCAATGTATGATGGTTCCAATTTTTCCACATCTTCACCAACACTTATTATTATAGCTATCCTAGTGGGTATGAAGTGGTATCTCATTGTGGCTTTGATTTGCATTTCCCTGAGATCTAATGATGTGGAGGATCTCTTCATGGACTTCTTGGCCATTTGTATATCATCTTTGGAAAAATGTCTATTTAGATCATTTGCCCATTTTTAAATTGGGTTATTTGTGTTTGGGTTGTAAGAATTCTTTATATATTCTAGATACAAGTTCCTTATCATATATATGATTTACAAATATTTTCTCCATTTTGTAGATTGTCTTTTCACTTTCTTCATGGTATCCTTTGCAGCAGAAAACATTTTAATTTTGATGAAGTCCAATTTATCTATTTTTTCTTTGGTTGCTTGTGCTTTTGCTATTATATCTAAGAAACTATTGCCTAATCCAAGTTCACAAAGATTTATGCCCATTTTCTCCTAAGAGTTTTATAGTCTTAGCTCTTATATTTAGGTCTTTGATCCATTTTGAGTTAATATTTGTATATTGTATAAAATAGAAACCCAACTTCATTCTCTTGCATGTGTATATCCAGTTGTTCCAGCATCATTTCTCGACAAGACTATTATTTCCCTATTAAATTTTCTTGACATTCTTATTGAAAACAGATAGACAGTGGTTTATTCCTGGATGCTCAATTGTATTCCATTGATCTGTCTGTCTGTCCTTATGCCAGTTCCACACTGTCTTGATTTCTATAGCTTTTAGTAAGTTTTGAAATCAGAAAGTGTGAGTGCTCCAACTTCGTTCTTTTTCAAAATTGTTTTGGCTATTATGGGTCTTTGAAATTCCATTTAATTTTAGGGTCATTTTGTCTGTTTCTGCAAAGAAGAAAGATGGAATTTTAATGGCGATTACACTGAATCTATAGATCATTTGGGAAGTATTGCCATCTTAACAAAACTCTATTAAGTTGTCTTAGTCATCTAGTGCTGCTATAACAGAAATACCACAAGTGGATGGCTTTAACAAAGAGAGATTTATTTCCTCACAGTAAAGTAGGCTAAAAGTCCAAATTCAGGGCATCAGCTCCAGCGGAAGGCTTTCTCTCTCTGTCGGCCTTCTTCTCATCAGCGTTCCCCTGGACTAGGAGCTTCCCAGTACAGGGACCCTGGTCGAAACGACGCCCTCTGCTCCTGGCACTGCTTTCTTGGTGGTATGAGGTCCCCCTCTCTCTCTGCTCACTTCTCTCTTTTATATCTCAAGAGATTGCCTCAGGACACAATCCAATCTTATAGATTGAGTCCTGCCTCCTAACACCACTGCCACCCATCCTCCCTCATTAACATCATAGAGGCAGGATTTACAACATATTAGAAAATCACACAATACCAGGAATCATGGCCCAGCCAAACTGACACACAAATTTTTGGGGGGACATAATTCAATCCATGACATGTAAACATGGAATGTCACCAGCAACCTCTTTAGTAGTGTCTGTTAGTCCCTCGGACTTTTTTGAGAGTTTCTTTGGTTTCTGATCAAGTAAACTGAGATAAACTGTCACATGCTTGCTTTCTGCTTTCTGAGAGCCACTTTGGAAAACAGACCAAAGTTGCTATAAATGAAATTCATTTTCTTTTATTAGGAGCTACCCACAGACACAAGATCACCTGACCCTGTAGTTCTCCTTTGACTTGGAAAAGCTAAGACAACTCTGACTTCACAATATGAAATTCCACCTTCCCATGTTTTTGTTTGGTTTTCTGTTACTAAATATTAAAATTGCATCACACCATAGACTAAACCAGATTTTGTAACTTCACCAGGGTTCTTGATATTCTCAAATGGAGTGTCCAACATTCATTTCTAAATAGCCATAGTGAGGCAAAATAGCATTTTTACCCCTGGTGGATTCAGAGGACAGATCCTTTGTTTTTGGGCTCTACTCTACCAAATCTACATTTGTCTTATAAATATAGAAAGAATGTGAGGTGATCCTGAACACACCAGTGAAAGACATACTCTAGTATACATGAACAAAGCAGGAGATATGATTTGTCCTGGAGCCAACCAGAAAATGTGTTAGCTGCATTCCACAGTCTGGGTCATGGGGTAAGACAAATGATCACATATGGCCTTAGACCTTTCGGGCTTCTGCGGGAATGCAGTGACTTTGTCACACAACATAATCTTGTAATCCGGCTGTCAGTCTGTGACTGGCCTGCTTCTCCAAGAGTGAATGAAGCTTTGCTGTCTCATGTTGCTCTAGTCACATCTTGCCCACAATCCTTTTGCTTCCTGGCCTATAAGCCCTTGTTGCTCCTAGGCCAGCCAGATTGCTCCACTGACTTACTTCTCTGAGTCTTCTGTGTGGGCTGTTGGTCTATAAGCATCGGTAAGTATCTAAACCTGCTGTAAACATTTCTTTAAAGAGGTCATCCCTCACACTCATAGAACACACTTGGTATGAACAAACATACTAGGGGAAAAGGTTACTGATGTTCTAAAAAGCACCCTACAAAAGGATCAAGAAATGCTTTATTTTTCTAAAAGAAAACAAGAGCAGATTCTGTGTTTTACAAAAACACCATTTCAT